GGTACCTGGTACAATCATCAATAAATAGTACAAAATAACTGTATCACAACCGAGAAGTAATAGAAGAGGTCCAAATATTAGCATGTATAATTTCAAATGGAGAAATAACATGCTTAGACTTATGAAAAAAAGACAAAGTATAGTTTTTACTCAAACAACAAGAAACACATGAAGTATTAAAAGTTTGCAAAGAGGGGATTTTGTTTCTTATAAAACCATAGTCAAATAAAAACTTTAATTTTTCAAAATGTGGATGACCCAAATGCTTAGCCATAAGTCCCGAACACTGTTTCTTTGACCAAAAAAGGAATTAGATGAGGAGCTGAAATAAGCATATGACTTGGTTGTGAGTGGCTTCTCGAACTCCAATGCAAATAGTCGGCCCAGCGTATGCCCCTTCCCTTTCACTTTCCTAGTGCACTGGTCCTAAACCAAGCAGCCATAAGAAGAAAAAGTAAGAATATGACCTTCATCAACAAGATGTCCAATTGAAATCAAGTTTGCAGTGAGATTTGTGACAAGAAAGGTCTTGGTAAGGGAGGGGGAAAAAGAGGGAGAAAGCCTAAGGGACAAATCATTACTACCAATGATGTCCAATTTTTCACCATTGGTAGTAACAATATGTTTGTGATGGGTTTCAGTGTTGTTCTTCGAGAGTTCTGAGTAGGCTCTGGTCATACGATTGGTAGTTCCATAATCAATAATCCAACTAGGAGATGAGGAAGAACAATAACAAGAAAACTCATCAGATAAGCCAATAGAAGAGAAAGCAAAAGATACAAGTTGTCGAATTTCCTCTTTATCCATAGGAGCAGATGATTCACCTTTAGCAGAAGGATCAGACTTAGCAGGGGTGATATCAGAAGTTTCTCTCTTAGTCACTTGGTAAGCACGATGCTGGTTCTTTTTCTAAACTCCTCTAATTGGTTGAATAGAACATTCTAGAATAATATGATCATGCTGCTTATAATAAGTGCACACATCTTTCTTTTTACAATGTGAATATGGCTGAACCCTTTACACTCATAGCATTGAATCTTAGAGGCATCTTTATTGGCTAGTTTCTTATTTCCATGGGCAATGAAAGTAGTATCAGCCCCAAAATCAGCTCGCTTTCCATCAAGTCCCGTAACAGTCAAGAGTCTAGTATCCTCCCTAAGGAGTTCACCCATCACTGAGTCTAGGTTTAGAAGATTCAATTTGCTCAAGATGTTAGACCTGATTATTTCATACTCAGGTTTGAGTCTCATTAGAAGTTGATTTACACTTCACTTCCAAAAGTGTTTTTGAAGGTATTTGACACATTTAGTATAATTTGAGGGGCCAATATGGACTAACTCATATTCAGCCCATAAATCTTGAAATCCATAATAGTATTCTTGTATTTTTCTATTCCCTTGGCAATAAGGAAAGATCTTAAATTCAATTTGATACTACCTTGACATGTTTGATTGATAGTAAACCTTCTCCAAATATGCATACATATCATATATAGTCATCATTCTTCGCATAGGAACAAAAATATGGGTTTATATAGAACTCAAAATCCAAGAGACCAACTTTCCATTGTCAAGTTTCCATTGCTGAAATGCTTTTACATCAGTTTCTTCATGTTTAGTGGCTTTACCATTCAAATAGCCCTCTAAACCTTTTCCCTCAACCAAAAAAAGAAAAATCAAAATGAAGCTTCCACAAATTATAGTTAGTTCCATTAAACTTCACTGAAATTACTTCTACTTTTTTAGCCTTTTTTTATCAACAAATATGACTTTTATTAATAATAGAGAAATATTGAATTACAATAGTTATAGGTTACAATACTGTGTTAACCCAATCTACAAACACTTACAAAATAGTTACAGTTCTGCCTGGTACACGGTAGATCTATTTGCCCCCTGTTTTTTCTAGGGTATCCGCCAACCCATTTGCAGCCCTTTTGACCCAACTAAACTGAGAGTTGAACCTCCTTGCAACTATGTCAATTTCTCTATAGATAAATTTGAGCTTCCAAGGTGCTGATGTGATGTTTTTAACCCATGAAATGACCAGTAGTGAGTCTCCTTCTATTTCTAAATCTGTTGTTCCAATCTACTCAACCATCTTTAAACCTTGAAGTACAACCAGAGATCCAATTTGTATCGAGTCACCAACACCTATTGGTCCTGAAAAGAGTGCCACAACTTCTCCTAGATGATTTCTAATCAAACCCCCTTATACCTACCCTTCCCGGGTTACCAAAGGAACTTCCATCAAAGTTTAGTTTTAGTTTGTTTAGTGCAGGTGGCTTCCATTCCGCTCTCACAACTTCTTTAGGTACATCTGTTTATCCTACTTTAGTCCAGTTTCCTAGAATGTCATTCGTGGAGAAGTTTTTGAATAGTTCCATGGTTATCACCCAATGTGCAGTTTTGATTTGTATGGCTTCAATGACTTCCTCCTTTGATTTGCTTTTTTTAGAGACGAGTCTTTGGTTTTTTTCCTCCCATATAGTCCATACATAGAAGCTCTTGCTGCTTTCCATAAGCACTTTCCTCTTTTCTTCTATTGCCTCAAGAAGGAAGGGCTGAATAGACTTACCACATCCTATGGGGGAGCCCATCTACATCCAAAGAGAGAACAAACAATTTCCCAAATACAAGAAACAAAAGAGCAAGATAAGAGTAAGTGGGGTAGGGTTTCACCACAATCCTTACAAAGGACACACACATGAGGAGAGAGGCATTTGTTTTGCCTTCTTTTTTGTAGCGCATCACAAGTGTTCACCTTCCCTATGAACACTTTCCAACAAAAGGCTTGTACTTTAGGAGGGATCGGTGTACACCAGATTTCTCTCACTGAGAAATTCACCCCCAAATGATCAAAGTGAGTGAGCAAATTGGACACTGGACTGGACGAACAATGACTGATCTTCAAGCAAAGGTATCTGAAATCCTTTAACACACTAAGAAGAAGAGTCCCACAACAAAAGAAGAAGGATTTCTTAAGAAACAAGTCCAACTAGCAAAGTATTCAAAGTTTACAGTCCAAGGAGAGATTGCAGTCCTATTGGTTCAAAGAAGGGATCAAAACCCTACCAAAACAGATTGAAATCCTCAACCAAACCAAATAGTTTCTAGAGTAGGTTAGGGTGACACCAACTCTAGAGTTTCAAGATGAACCAAGCAGCCAATCAAGAGAAAATGAAGAAAACTCTACCTGGTAGGTGACCTTTTCCAAGAGAAATACTAGAAGAAGGAGAACTCAAAACCCTTTCCAAACTGATTCGAACCAGACCAAGCAAGGAGATATCAGTACAACTCCTTTGGGCAACACCAAATCCAAAGTTGTATGCAGATCTGATGCTCTAAACAAAAGAACCAATGAAAGCCCTAAAGGTGATGGGTAGGAATCCATAACAGAACAATGTATGATGTTGATTGATCAAAACAGTCCATAGAAGCTTCAAACCAGATGTGAGAACTGAAGAGTAACCTTCAATCTTGAGCAAAAATCATATGCTAGAGCTGGTACAGAGAACTTATTCTGATACCATGTCAATAAGATGAACTGTAGAGAGTCTAGAACCAAGTTTTAGGGGTGTCAAAGAATGAATTCGACCCCCACCCCCAAAGAGCCTTTATTATATTATAAATATTTACAAGTATGCCCACATGAGCTTAAAGAATTTACAAGAAGGCCCTTATAGGCCAAAAGGATTACAAGAAAGCCCTTATTGGGCTGAAAGAGAAAAATAAAGAAACAAAAGATACAATGCAACATGGACTACAATATTAGAATGCATCAATACTCTCCACAAGGACCTCTTCCCTGATTGCAAACTTAGTGTCACACTCTTTACTCAGATGGATCCTAGGTTTAAAAACCTTTTACGAACTTTTTTCGAAAATAATAATAAACATATGCATATATTTTGCAAATCAGGTTTCAAATACAATTGAAATCCATTGCCGATAGTTTAGGTTTCCGTTAGAGAGAATGTAAACCCTGATATCCACTTTGTATGACAAAGGGGCTGGTCTTATAACTATGATCACCACTCGGGTAAATTTCCAAACTGCTCCAACATGCTTAGGTATTTGACCCTTGATGGATTTCACTGGTTGATATATAAAAAACAATTCAGTCCAAAACCTAGTATTGTATCATAATCAAGTCTACGGTTAAGTGCAACTTCTCAATTTTGCCTATCTGTCTCCAAGGTTCAGGGCATAATTGGAAATTGGTTCATGTTCAGTGCTTCATCCAAACTCTCACTAACTGTGCTTGGGGTCTAACCTAGCAGCTGAGACAAACTGCTCCACCAATTCGACAACACATCAGATTCAACCTTATCAAAATAGACTTCCCAAGTCTATCCAATAGTTGAGAACATTTTAAACTAACACAAGTCTCATAAGTGTCTACTTTAAGGAATAATTCACAGAAACATACCAATTGAGCATAAAACAATAATGTTCTTATATTATTTATGCTGAAATGTTTGTGTACATCGATCTAATTGGAGCTAAGGGCATATATTGTCTAACATGTGTGTGTGCGTGTTGCTTTTATTTGAGTTATTGTTGGGTCACAGTGCAAATATATGAGCAATTGGAACTTGGAAGTGTGTTCATCAATTGCATTTGAATAGAAGGTAGAGACTTCTATGGAGAAATCTTTGTTATTAATCAAAAAGAAATTTTACCCCAAAAAAACATCTATAATTAATAAAACCTTTTTTTACTAATGAAAATGGGGAAAGTTTCTCCCTCTGGTTTTGTTTGAAGTATCATTATAGGCTTCCTAGGGGTTGCATTGTATCTTCCTGTTTTTCTGGGATTTTTGTCAATTTACATATGAGGAAGTTGAATGAATGTATGTTATAGTCTATTTGCTTTGTGCTAACATATTGTCATTGTATCTACTTCAGCTCCTGGTAAGTATATTTGTAATCTATTTATTTCAAATATATGGCTTAACAAGAATTTCCTTTCTATTTTAATCTTGGTCTATTTCATTAGATTGCCCAGGTCACTTCAAATCAGATGTCCAAGCGTGATCCTTTGAGACCCTACATGGATGTGATTGATAGCATGTTGCATCAGATGGTACTTCTTGTATACAAACTCACACATAAGAAATTCAATGTCAAAGATGTGGAAAACTTTATGCTTTTTATACTATTCTCTAATTTCTTGGATTTTTTTTCTAGCTTAGAGAAAATCCTTCATTCAAACCACAAGGAGGTAGGTTGGGAGAAAATGATATGGACTATGATGCTGACAAGAAATCAATGGCCACACTCAGGAGACAACTTAGGAGAGCAAAAGAGGAGTACTATCGCTACAAAAGGTATTGCAGTAAAAGATTTGCTGACCCAGTTTGCTTGTGAAGTGTGTTCATTAATATAGAGGTTGTCCTAGGATTTTTTTTTTGTTCATTGAAAGTGATTTTATTAATAAAATGATATGAGAATTAGTACAGGGATTGGGTAGCCTCGGCTACCCCAATGTCCAATAGCATTCCACCTAAGATTTGCTTTACAATCTTACAACAGAGCCCAAAAACAATGTTCCCTATTAGCCCCTTACTTTGCTAGCTGGTCCGCAAACCCATTTGCTACTCTTGGAGTTCATTGAAATAATAACTGCATATCCTTTGTAGTGTGATTAATTTTATTGATCTCATTTCTAAATACCCATGGAGTCTTTCCATCCTATTTTGGAGTCRCCTTCTACAACCAACTTTCTCACACCTATTTCCATGGCTTTTTGTATTCCGAAAACCATTGCTTTTAGCTCAGCTGTAATGGAGTCTCCCCACCCAATAGGGCTGGAAAAGAGTCCTACTACACTCCCCATGTCATCTCTTATGACCCCACCAATTCCAGCCATGCCTGGGTTGCCAAAATTGCTCCCATCAAAGTTTAATTTGAGGAGTCCAAATTCAGGAGGATCCCCACTTCGTACTGCCTTCTTTTTTTTTTTTTTTTCAGATGACGAGGATGCTACAGTCCTCCAGTTCCTGATTATATCATCGATAGTACAATCTGAGAATAAATCCATCAATTTTACCCATGAGATCACTTTTAACATAATCCCTTCTACCAGTAATTCCTTGCACCTTTTCTTTCCTTCAAAATTTCTTTGATTTCTTTCCTCTCATAACATCCAAAGTAATGCTGCATGTGTGCATCTCCACAGAGTTTTTCCTCTTCTTTTTGGCCACCTGAAAGTGGAGGCTTCAAACAGTCTTTCCAAACTCACCGGGGTATCCCGCCTGCATCCAAAGAGAGAAAAAAACCAAACCCAGATGCTGCTAGCCACATGACAGGAAACAACAATATGAAGAGCAGTTTCACCATTAGATTCAAACAAACAACACCAATAAGGTGAAAGACACCAACTAGGCCTCTTCCTATGCATCAAATCACAGGTGTTAATTGCACCATGACCTCCCAACAGAAAGCACCCACTTTAGGAGGAATAGGGCGACACCAAACTTATTGGACTAGAAATTGGACCCCAGGTTGAAAAGACGTTAAGGTTTTAAAGGATGCACAACTGAAAACTCCAAGGGGGTTAGGAATCCAGATTCTAGTATCTTGCTTAGCAAGGTCAATAAAAACCCCATCAAGCAACTGAATAATAGAAGACACCAAATCCAACTCTGAGTCTTACACATTTCTGCGGAGACCCAGATTCCATGCAAAACCAAACTATGAAGGAGAAGGGGACAGAAAATCAGCAACCGGTTTGCCCTTAAGGCCGAACAGGGCATAAATTAATGGGAATAAGGTCTTTAAAGAAGAGTCACCCACCCATACATCTTCCCAAAATTTAATTTTGTTACCTGAGTTGAGATTAAACCCGACATGATTGAGGAACAATGGGAGGAGTTTGTGAACCGCTTTCCACGGCGAAGCACTGGAAACCTTATAAGACACTCCAACATCCCAACCATTTTCAGAGAGCCCAAGAATACTAGTCACAATCTTGTGCCACAACCTATCTGTTTCTTGTGGGTACTTCCATAACCACTTTCCTAGTAGAGCCTTGTTCTTTTCCTTCAACCTTCTTAACCCCAATCCTCCAAATTCTTTCCTCCCAGATATTAGATCCCATTTTACTAAATGATCTTTCTTCTTCTCGCCCGGTTCTCACAAAAAGTCCCTCATTATTCTCTCTAGTTTCTTTTCCACAGCTTGAGGCATGCTGAACATCGAGAGATAGTAAACTGGTAGGTTTGCTAGGGTATACTTAATAAGAGTAATCCTTCCCCCTAGAGAAATATAATTCTTCTTCCACACAACGAGTTTTTTTTCAAACCTTTCCACAATTGGATTCCAAAAACCTATGCTTCTGGGATTTGCACCAAGGGGGAGGCCTAAATACTTGAGTGGCCAATCACTATTTAAACATCCTAGCTCCTTAGCTTACACATTAACATTTTGTGCTAAATTGATCCTTGTCACCTGACTCTTATTAAGGTTCACTCTCAGATTTGTCACTTTTTCAAAGAGTTTAAACAACATTCTTAGGTTTCTTGCTCCTAACTCATCTCCAGTCTCACAAAAAATAATGATGTCATCCACGAATTGTAAATGAGTTAACACCACCCTCTCCCTTCCTACTTTCCAACCCTTTAACAAACCTATATCCTCTACCTTTGAGATCAATCTACTAAAGACCTCAGCTAAAATGATGAAGAGGAAAGGGGATAAAGGGTCCCCTTGTCTCACTCCTCTTAGGGCACCAAAGAAATCATTGATTGCACCATTTACCAACACTGACAAGTGAGAAGATTGTAGGCATCATTTAATCCATTTACATCATCTTGCTCCAAAATCACATTTCCTTAATGCTTCAATTAAGAACTCTCAGTCCACCAAGTCATAGGATTTCTCTAGATCCAGCTTACACACAATGCCCTTCCTTCCTGCTATCATGAAATCCTCCACACTCATTGGCAATGACTATTTAATCTAATATTTGTCTATCTTGTATGAAATCTCATTGGAATTGAGATATGATTGATGGGAGAGCCTTTTTTAACCGAAGTGAGATGACTTTTGCAAGGATTTTGTACTGACTTGTCACCAAATTAATTGACCTGAAATCCTTGGAGTGGTAAGCACCAAATTTCTTGGGGACCAACACAATAAAAGTGGCATTTACCCCTTTACTGACAATCTCCCCTATCATAACACTCCTCAAAGACTCGCATTAAATCATCCTTTAGCCACTCCCAACAATCCTACTAGAAAGCCATAGTGAATCCACCGAGCTCAGGAGCTTTAGAGCGATTCATAGATAAAACTGCTTCCTTCACCTCATTTAATTCAAAATTTCTCTCCAAGCTTTCTACTAATGGCAACTTCTAGGACTGGCCAATCTAAACCTTCCAGCTTCCATTTTCCTAAAATAGGCCTTCTTAAGATTGATTTAAAATGATCCACCAAAGCCTATGCAATCTCATCATGATTAGTTATTGTGCGATCCTCCACTTCTAACATAGAAATCAGATTCTTCCTTTTTCTCCCGTTCACAATCATGTGAAAGTATTTTGTGTTTCCATCCCCTTCTTTGATCCAATACACTCTTTATTTCTGCCTTCAAGTCATTTCTTCTCTAAGGAGTGTGGATTCTAGCTATTTTCTTAAATTAAACCTCTAATCTCTTTCCCCTACAACCAATGAACCTGATTCCTCCTTATTTATTTCTTCAATTCTATTTATTAGATTAGCCTTCCTCTCTTTTAACCTCCTGAATTTATTAAGATTCTATTCCTTGATTTTTACTTTTAAATTCTGAAGCTTCCTATGGAATCTAATCCCTTCCTACACAGCCTGGGGGTTATCTTCCTTCGACCACTCCTCAACCTTACACACAAACTTTGGGACCGTTAACCACATGTTCTCAAATCTAAAGGGCGTCGACCCTTCCCCATTTATCCCTTGTCCGATACATGTCAACCAGTGATCCGAGATGACCCTGGGTAGTGTCCTACCCACCATGTTAGTCCAATGTTCCTCACAATCCCAAGACACAAGAAACCTATCCAACTTTGAGCACATCGGGTTCTCCTGACAATTAGTCTGGCATATCGTATTGTCCAATCCCGATTTCCTTCAATTCAAATGTGTCTATAAAATTATTAAATCTTTTCATGCTGGTGGTTATCTTTTGTCTCGGATTATTCGATTCAACAGTATGTCTAATCACATTAAAGTCCTCCCCCCCCAAAGCATCACGACCTTGCCACAAACTTCTCACATCTGCCAGTTATTCCCACATCTTATTTCTTTCCCTACGAATTAGGCCCATAAACATTTGTCAACACCTAGTTAAAATTATCATTCAGATTCTGTAGTTTATTTGACACTGAGAACCTACCTATTAATTCCTCTACATTCCACCGTATTCTCATTTCCACATAGTGACTATTCCGCCTGAGGCACCACACGACGGAGCCATGGTCCATCCAATGTCTCTGCCTTTCCAAACACTCCTTACCCACCTTCTATTAATCTCTTGTGCCTTAGACTCTTGGAGCATCACAACATCTGGCTTTTCTCTCCTTAACACTTCCTTTATGAGTCCTCTCTTTGCTACCCTCCCCAGTCCTCTAACATTCCAACTTATAATCTTTATTTCATCATCACATCATTTATTCTTGCCTTAACTTTTATCTTCAGCCTCTCCTTCCACCTATCCCACCATCTTTCACCCTCTTGCCCCACCCTCTTTGTTTTTTTTCAGCTCCCTTACCTGCCTCATGCCTGGTTTTCCTCCTTCAGACAACTCTTCTTCTGAATCTTGTCTTGGCCTAATTACAAAATTTTCAGCCCCATCTTCTCAACCCATTTCTTTAGTGTTATTTCCTCATGAGATTCACCCTCCCCATGACCCTTAGCTTATTTTCCTCTACCTTCTACCACCCATGTTTTCCTCAAGGTTTAAAATGTCGATTTCAATGGAAATGTCACTTACCAAAATATATGACATATGTCGAAAATGTCGAGGGGAAATATTGTAAAAATTAGAGACATTATGGAAATATTATGAAATATGTGGAAATATGCAATGATATTTTGTAAAATGATAAAAGAARCATTAATACATATTTCTAGACTATTATCTTATTCCCAACCATTATATAAAGCTAAGAAACTAAGATCAATAACAAATTAGTAAATGACGATTTACTGATTTATTATGCATTTTTGATGTTTTTATAAGGTTATCTGATATTTTCTTTTCTTATTTTAATTCTGATTTATTATAAATTCTAATATATTTATTTCACACTAGTAAATAGAAATACATTTATTCTGATTTTTTAAATATTCAAGTTATAATACATTATGTTTTATTATAAATTTAATATACCGATTCTCCTTTTTGTAGTATTAAGATTATGATAAATTCTGATTTCTTATAAAACTTAATGAATTTATTATAATTTTTTATATTAAATGTAAATATGGTTTATTGTAAAATTTAATAAACATTTGTTGATTTTAATAAATATTTTAATACTTGAAAAATATTTTATGTTTTATATTATAAAGTAATTAACTTATTATTTTGTTTTTATATTTTGTTAATTATATTTTATAAATTTTTTATTTGAAATATTAAATAGAAATTATTAATAGAATAATTTATATTAATATACTATATTTTAATAGTATAATATACTAATATATTATATTATTAATGTACATTAGTCGATATCCCATGAACATGAAAAAATGTCTTTAGACCCATTTAATCGACATTTCCAAAATATTGTCTATAATTTTTATATTATCATCCATTTTCATGTTGGTGAGCCCCGACATCCACATATGTCGAGCGAGATTAGCAACATTTGAAACCATGATTTTCCTTACAACATCTTTCTCTGCCATCCTCTACAACATCAATTAATGTTACCTCCCGCATCACATCACTTGCTATGTCGATAGCACAATTACTATTAATAAAAACCGAATTCACACAATTACCTTGGATACCTAGTAAACCTGAGTTGGTTGTAGGATGGCTCAGAGGGGACACAAAGATGCGTCCCCGGTTCCCGACTCAGTAGGTGTTGCTGGGTGGTCAAATTCTTTCTAAATCATATGGCCTTGGCCTGGGTCTGGCACCTTGACCTTGCTTGGCGCGTCGGTGTTTATCTCCTGACTCGCCTCACTCATTCCTATTGATCTTCCCTGACGCTATCTATGGCACTAGGTTGGTTCCTTCTCCTTTGACGGCAGGTTTTCTACAGTGTCCGATGTCCTTACGTCTATCATCGGTTTCAGACTAGACTGAAACTGAGAGGCTTGATCTTCTAGATTAAGGTTGAAGAGGGCCTCCATGTTGCCCAGTTCATGAAAATGGTCGCTTCCAACTATGGAGTTTTCATCCGAACAAGAAATCTCAGATTCTTCCTCCGAGTCACATCAATTTGACTCGCTTTCTACCTGTGTCTCATTTCTCCGTCTAGAAAATCTTGGATTAGGGCGCTCTGCCACCCTCTTTGGCCGCGGATTCCATCTCAGGCCGCACCAGTTCTGTATACTATTCGACTTCAGAGGTGTTGAAGACGATGATAGACCCTTGAGATTGTCTATCAAAGGTCCAGTGGGTTGCCTCACGTGATGACTTAAGAAGTCATGTGTCGCCTTACTATCCTTTCGGTGGGCCGAGTTAGATGTCTTAGACCCGGCTCAAACCACAGGATAATCTAAGGTCTGGCCTTCCTTTGTCTTACTCCCTTGTGGGCCCACCCCACTCTCTACACCGGTCCCTTTCATTAATATCTCCTTAAACAAGATATCTCCCGCCTTCCTATCCCCATTTTTTGCACAATTCTTTTTCTGGAGTCCGAACCTTCTAGAGTTTTGGCTCTTTATCTTCCTTAGAAGTACACGTCTTCACCTGTTTTTAACGCAAGGGTCTTGTGGCTTCTCTGTCACCATCATGTGTCACCCAGACTGCCACGTCACCATCTTCTTCAACCTTTGATCTCCCATTCCAAGTGCTGCTTCCAATTCCAACGCAACCCATACCTTGCTCCACATGCCCTCAGCTAGCAGTTCGAATGATCGTGGGACGGCATTTGGCTGGGTCATATGACGTGGCTCATTCCAAAGGAATTCCGGCTTAGATCTCACTGCTCCAAACGTCGCCACGGAAGCCTTATACRAAGTTTAGCAAGGCGCCCATGTCCCGTCGACCACTCCGCCCGAAGATCTGCAGGCCAGGGCAAGTAACGCCGTTGCAACCCATCATTTTCACGCAAGATGGATGCTCTGGCAGAAGTCACTCCTGCTATTCTCAGCCCAACAGCCTTCAGGTCCGTTTTCTTGTAGGAGATGAGAACTCCACCCAACGCAGTTGCGATTGTCTCCAGCAGGCATTTATTTACGCCATAGATTGAACGGTAGGCCTACCAATTTCAATCGAAAGTCTCCATTGTTGAAGGTCTTCGAGTTATAGGAGGAACACCATTTCTCCAACTTTATAATGCCCTCCTCGTTGTGAACTGTAGTGAAGTCTACCTCTTTCAATCCCACATCCAATATCGCCTTGTTCTCTTCAAATGGCATAAGAATGACCGTTTGTTTCAGCCCCAACTTCTTGGATACTTCTTCCAGCACGTGTTTCTAGTCTTCACTTTCTCCTTCTATCATTATCTTAGGAACTGGGGTGGATAGGGATAGCACTGTGTTATCATTTTCCTCTGTGTCATTTTCTAATCCCAACTTCTCCAGTCTTTTCCTTCTCTCCTTCATTTCCTCCTTCGGCCCCACCTTTTTCTCCATCGTTTTGTCTTCTTCTTGCTTCTGCTTCTCCACCTGCCTTCGAAGCTCTGACCTTCGGATCCTGGTTACAAGTCAATGCAGCTCATTAGCTAACCCGATCCATCCTCCCAGATTTCTGCTTCTGGTATAACAATCATCTATTTTCTCCCCTTTTCAAATCTCTCTTCCAGAGCCACAAACCAACCTCTCAAGTTCCTTCTTCTACTGGCCAGGTATTCTTTGCTAGGTGATTTGAAGTTGTCTCTCCACTCCGAGCACCAGCTTACATTCACTGCTCCATCAAGGAAGCTTTGGAACCAGAATATCGCCTCCCCTACTAGGAATACTGTCCCTTTTCTACCTTCCCTAATCTTCAACGTGATTACCTTTTGATGAAACATCTCCTCCAACAGCAGTTCTTTGGATTCCACCTTTATCCTCATTTTCCTTACCGGTGAGAACTCTCCTTCTCCGGCACGAACCATCTTCTGTTGTCCTAGGATGACTGGACATTTTATTTCATGATCTATCCTAGTGATTTTATCACTATTGACAAACAACATTCACAAGTATGTGTAACTTTTCTTGAGCTTCCCTTGTTTATGTAACCAATATTTGCCAGGGGCTTGTACTTGCACTCTGTCTCCTTTTTATAGAAAAAAAAATTATTGAATATACAAATAAGATAATCTCTACTCTCCAAAATAAAGATTGGTAAGCAGAAACCAGAAACAGCCAATGGCTGACCAATCCTCCTAAACTTTTGCAACTACTTCTAGCATTCAGTTGCAAAATGATATATCTTCCTGCACCTAACATACTCCATTCTGGGGCATTTTTGTGTACCCCCAATCTTGTCAAACTGTCAGCCAAAATGTTAGCTGGCCTAGGGATCCATCCAAACAAGAAATTCAGATTGGATACCTGGTATTTGACCTCTCTGATTAGAAATCCAAAGATCCAAGGACCTTCTTTACCTGCACTAGATAAGGTCCCTGACAAGGGAATTAGACTCTTATTCCATTCGGTTCAGAGATTGGCTAATAGTTTGGTGGATGAATTGGCTAAACAAGGGGGAAATAGGGGTTAATTTTACTGGGATTTAATTGTAACATATTTTTATGGATGTGGAGGAAATGGTTAGGTAGAGGAAATGGCCGGCCTACTGATGGTAACGGTTGGCATTATTTACAGAATATACTCTTTTGTTCTAGTAGTATTACTAGACGGTTAACAATAAAAGAAGACTATTTGCCTTCTGCAGACTTTTGCACATGGATCTTGCTCAGTGGTCATAGTGTGATACTTTTAGACAATTGTTATTACTTTTACTGGGCATTGCAGTTGGATCATATTTATTTGTAGTTTAGGGCATTTAGTAGCATTGTAGCATAAGTATGAAAAATTCTTTTACAGTTGGATGTTCTAGGGTGATATAGACTGAAAGATGAAATGCCTGACTTAAAGCAAGCCAAAATTTATAGATATAGAAATCAAAGCTATCATTTTACCCAAGACACAATTTCCTATCTTCAAAGTGATTTTGTGTGTGTGTGTGTGTCTGTGTGTGTTTAGTGCAAACCAAATTGTATTGATCACGTTTTGACTAAATGCTGTCTCATAATATTTCTGGTATAAGAAGGAAAATTATTCACTAGCTATGTGAATTCTGAAATTGTCTGCTCAAGCCATGCAAATCTCCTCCTGCCCTTAAAGATGAAATTTCTATCAAAGAAAACTTACTTGGCTGTTGACATGAAGTTTATTTTAATAATTGGTTATATCTGATTAGGTTTAACATTTTGCAGTGAGTATATGACCTTTGTCATAGAAGCTCTTGAGCTAGAAGATACAATAAAGAATTACGAGCGTCGCAATGAAACTGGATGGTTTGTGCCCTAATCATGTGCTTATGTCTTCTTTCCATAGTCTCTATATGCCTCTTGTCTGGCCAAATTTTTTCTTGGTATACTAGTGCATTAAAATTTTCACTACCTTTATTAACAAACTGGGAGTTCTACGCATGACAATAATCTTGCTGAGACACAACTGTGTCATTTATATGATTTTTTATTAGCATCACCTCCTGATAGACAAATGGAAAATCATGCCAGATGAACTTGCAATACATTGTTTTCTCCTCTGAACTTTGTTCGCCTGTGGCCATTTGCGGGAAGGTATTTACCCAAGTTTTTGTTTGATGTTGCATATGTCTTTGATCCACTTCCACGGGATGCAGGAACTCTACTGCATGTATGTCTAATGCTAGTAGTTTACTTTGTATCTTTTTATAACTTCTTTTCTATTAATCAATTCAATTTAGTTTATTGTTGCAATTAAAATTTTAGGGARAATCTAAGCTATTGGAAAAAATATGGTACTGGAAGAGCTTTGACCAATCAAAGCACCCCTTGTGAATTTTGATGAACACTACCTGATTGGTCACCTCTTTTACGAAAATTGCTTGATTGGCTCTAAGTTTTTCTGGTATCATGTCTTTCCAGTATAATAGTGAACCCCAAAATGTTTTCATCGATTGAATTTTCCTAGTCAGCTAAGATTGGCTTTATTCATTGTTTTGTTTTGTTATTTCCAAATCTTATTTAATTTTTTTTTTCTGTCGCTTTATTTTTGAAACCATCTTCTGAATCTGTTTTGTTTGAAATGTTGTTATTCTTTAAAAGATGTTGATATTATTTCTAATCATTCAACAACTTACCAAGTTTGCTAGTCCTCCCACAATCCAACCCTAGAAATAGTAGTAGAGAAGTTTGAAAGATCTGTTTTGATATAAAAACTGTGAAAGAAAGAAGAAAAGAAAGAGAAGAGAAGGTTTATGCAGAGAAAATAAGAGGAGAGAGATTGAAGAGAATGGGAGAAGCCAAAATTAGGTCTGTCTGCCCCTTTCATTAGCTTATATAGTCACAAATAAAAATAAAGTACAAAGACAAGTATGCCCTTGGTAAGTCAGCTACTTGTAAGAACTGAATAAACATTCCTAACTTAAAACATAAACTAATGGGCCTTGGGCCCAATAACTCCCTAACTATGTTATGTAAATAAAAACAAGTGATATCAACCCAAAACTCAACACCCCCCCTCAAGTTGGGAATAGATGTCACACATTCCCAACTTGCATAGATCATGCTCTAGCTTGTTTCTTGCAACTAGACTTGTTCATGGCCCGGGCCGGCCCCCARACGGGCTTGAACACATATTTGAGCCCGCAGGATTGAACTCGGGCCTAAAAGCTCGAGCCCAACTATGTTGTGGGCCGGGCTCGAGATTTATTAAAAAATCCTAGCCCGAGCCCGACCACTGGTGCAACCAGTAAACTCCGACCACTGGTGCAACCTCACACTCTCAGGCAAACACAGAACCGGTGGACACTCACTGGTGCAACCAGTAAACTCCGGCAGACCAGCATGAGTCCTCTCTCTCTCTCTCTTAGACACGAACTCAGCACCGGCGAACACAGACCGACGGTGAGTCCTTTCTTCTGTTAGGCTGGGCTTTGGGCTTTTTATTAGGGTCGGGCTTGGCCCATGTTGTAGGCCCGTTGGTCGGGTTGGGCTCGGGCCTAACAAATCCTATTTATGAAGAGTAAAAGCCCGGCCCATGAACAGGACACATTTTGTAAGAACATTAGCAAGTTGCAAGTCAGATGCAACATATGGTAAGCAAACTTCTCTGGATGTCACCCTTTCCCTTATAAAGTGTCTATCCACTTCTATATGCTTCGTCCTATCATGCTGAACTGGGTTGTAGGCAATGTTAAATGTTGCTTGATTCTCATAGTATAGCATCATAGGTTCTTCGGCCTCAACTTCAATCTCCCTTAACAAGGAGCGGACCCAAAGGAGCTTTGAAACACCATGTGCCATGGCTTTGTATTCAGCCTTTGCACTTGGCCTTGCCACAATTGTTTTTTTTCTTACTCTTTCCATGAAACTAGATTACCTCCAACAAGAGTGTAAACTCCTGATGTAGATCTCCTATCATCTAGATACCCTGCCTAATCAACACCCCAATGCTGAACTCGTGCGGTAGGCATGTATTGACTCACTACACTCACTACATAAGAGATGTTTGGTCATGTCATACATAAGTATAGCAACCGGCCCACTAATCTTTGATACCTTCCAACATCCTTCACTAGTTCACCTTCCGAAGCATTTATCCTATGGTTTTGATCATTAGGTGTATCAACTGCCCTTGCCCCAAGTTTTCTTGTCTCTTGTAATAGATCCAGAACATACCTCCTCTGTGAGATGAAGATCCCATGCTTAGACCTTGCCACCTCAATGCCCAGAAAGTACCTTTAGCTCCTCAAGATCCTTAATCTAAACTCTTTGTGCAAGTTCTTCTTTAAGGTATCAATCTCACTCAGATCATTTCCTGTGATTACAATGTTATCCACATACATTATCAAAACTAACACTGGTGACCCCTTCCTCTTCACAAAAAGAGTATGATCAGATTGAGTTTGAGTATAGCCAAATACAACCAATGCACTTCTAAACCTATCAAACCAAGCTTCCGGTGATTGCTTCTTCAATCTACATACCTTTCCTTTATCCACATCATTGCAAAAGCTAGTTGGAAGGTCCTCTTGCAAGTCCCCATTAAGAAAAGCATTCTTCACATCAAGTTGGAAAAGTGGCCAACAGTATGTACCTGCTAGTGATAGAAGAATCCATATTGAACTCATCTTTGCCACTGGTGCAAAAGTCTCCAAGTAATCTATGCCATAAGTCCGAGTGTACCCTTTTGCAACTAGCCTCTCCCTGTACCTTTCTATACTCCTATAAGCTTTGTATTTCATTGTATAAACCCATTTGCATCCATTTGCCTTCTTGCAATCAGGTATATCCACAATCTCCCATGTCTAATTTTTAATCAATACTTTCATTTCCTCCTACATAGTTGTCTTCTACTCAGGTTTGGAGAGAGCCTTACTAAAACTCTTGGGTATAGACATAGAGTCGAGGGAGGAAAGGATGGCTCGATATGAAGGGGATAATCCGCCATAGGAAAGATAGTGTGAGATGCAATGAGCACTACACTTCCTCTTCCATTTCCGGATTGCAATAGGGAGATCTAGGTCATCTGCAATGGTGTTAGGAACAATGATAGTAGTATCAATAGGAACTAAACCATCAGAGGAAACAAAAGGCATACCTGGGTCTGTGTCAATTGAACATGGAATCTCCGATGAGCCAATAGGGAGTGACGTGGGTTCCTCTGCTGTGGAATCAACCTTCTTGTGTTGTCGTAGGCATTGTCATGTAAAACACTGAGAGGCAGGATGCAATAGAGGTGGCAAAGTGGGTGAAGTAGATGGGTTAGACATTGGAGTGGACAAAGGAGCTGGAACAAGAAGTGGTAACTCTATCTCTGCAAGAGCAAAGGTTATATGAGGAGAAAATGGTGGAAATGTTGGTCATATGTTCTAAGGCTCCTAAGTTTATAATCGAGGGAGGTCCCCCCTTACCTGTAGTGGATACATAATTTACAGTGGCATGTGAACTACCTATATGTGCAAATGAAGTAGAATGGCTACCTCCTGATCCACCTGCACCTTGTTGTCCACTTGATAATGAGTTGGAATTGGTTGTATCCCTCTGATTCAGAAACTGTCCATATCTTTCCAATTCTACCCTCACTACAGCTGCTGCAACAGAATCTAGAGAAGCTGTAGTAGGTGGTCTTGATAGATCACCAGTCACTGCCATATTCACATTTCCCTTCTTGTTTTTGAGTTGGCTCAGTATAAGGTGTGGGTAAAGCTTCTAGCAGGTATCTCTGGTATGTTTAGGTTTCTTACAGTAGTCACATATCAGGTCCTTCTTGTCTTCCTTCCTCGGTTCATTTCCACCCTTGTCCTAACTTGGCTTGGGCTTTACTATGCTAACCATAGTTGACTGCTCTTAGGTTCCTCATCATCACATTACTCCTACTTTCCTCTCCAGACACAGAGTTATATGCCTGAGAGAGAGTTACACTATTTCGAGAAAGAATATGATGTCGTGCAATGTCATACTCAGGGTCAAGCCCTGCTAGAAACTCAAAAACCTTATTCTTCTCTACCAGTTTCTAATAAGTTGTTGCATCTTTGCTACTTTCCCAAACCACAGTCTCAATATGATCTATCTCTTGCCATAAGGTTTTGAGGGCTAAAAAATAAATAGAAGCATACTTATCTCCCTGTTTAGTAGCAATCACCTGGTTTCTCAACCGGTACACTCTAGCAACATTCTCATTCTGTGAATAAGTTTCTACTACTTCATCCCAAATCTCCTTAGTTGTGTTAGCCCATAAAAAATGCTTACTTATATGGGGTAACATGGAATTGCACAACCAAGTCATCACCATGTAGTTTTCCTATACCCACTGGGAGTAGTTAGTTTCAGGTTTATTTTCTTCACTAGTGACATGCCCCAATTTCCCATGAGCTCCAATGGCTATCTTTGCAGATTGTGACCATTCTAAGTAGTTTGTACCATCCAACTTGACTGTAGTGATGGTCCTAACCCCAAAGAAATCTCTAGCACCTCCTCCCCCGGTCCCATTTCACCTGCAAATTTGTTTTCAACTCCAAAACCCTCCATAACTCCTAGAACAGACTAGGAAATCAATTTAAGATGAAAAGAAAGGTATTTATCTCCTTTAGAAACCTCAAACACCTTCCTAGTACCCTAGAAGCCCCTTCCTCCAAAGATTCCCTTTTCCGTAGGAGCAAAAGAAGATAGAAGAGGCTGCCACTCCCTCCAGAGGCCTCTAAAAGGGCTAGGACTTTAACGCCCCCTTCAGAAAACCTCAAGGAACCCTAGAAAATCTAAGCGCCACTTCTTAGGTCAAAATTGAAGAGTCCTACTAAATTAGGACTCTTCTCCTTTTCTCCAATTCTTCCTGATTTTGGTGCTAAACCCTATACCAACTACAAAAGATTGCAAATCCACCAAAAAATCCAAAAAACCGGCCTTACCTGAAGTCCTCAATCAGCCCTTTACCTCATCATGCAGTGGTCCAATCTAGGGCTGCATGATGGAGGAGCTCAAAAAGTCTCTAAACTTGCTCTAATATCAAGTAGAGAAGTTTGGAAGATCTGTTTTGATATAAAAACTGTGAAAGAAAGGTGAAAAGAAAGAGGAGAGAAGCTTTATGCTGAGAAAGAAAGAGGAGAGAGATTAAAGAGAATGGGAGAAGCCAAAATTAGGTCTGGCCGCCCCTTTCATTAGCTTATATACTCACAAATAAAAACAGAGTACAAAGACAAGTATGCCCTTAGTAAGTTGACTACTTGTAAGAACTGAATAAACACTCTTAACTTAAAACATAAACTAATGGGCCTTGGGCTCAATAACACCCTAACTATGCTATGTAAATAAAAATAAGTGTTATCAGACCAAAACTCAACAATAGTAAAAAAAGCCTGATTATCGTAACAGTCTGACCTTGGATCAACCCGACTGAATTTGGGCATGTACTCTTCTTTCTTTTACTCATCTAATAAAACTCTCTTGGTCTGATTGATAATTAAAAAGAACTGGCTGAGTTTGTTTCTACAAATTGTATCCATCTAACAAAACAAATAAAATAAATGTATGATGAGGGCAATTTGGTAAGATAAGGGATTGAGGATGATTTGTACAGGCAGAACAAAAAGGCCTAAGGTAAGAATATTAACATAGTCTTTCCTATGGAAAGGAATGGGGGAAGAGTTGTATACACCCCAAAAAGTGTATTGGAGATTACAATTTTTAGATTGATGAAGATGGCATTACTTGAGAAGTGGCATTAGAGGTTAGCTGGTGGAGACAGTTGATTGCAAGGTTGAGGTTGAGAATGAAGAAATTCTCATATTACATAATTCACTCTATTGAACAAGACCTATTATTTTGGGTGAAGGACCATTTGGGGTATTATATGGTCCCATTAATTATATCTCTGCTTTTTGCAAAGAAGACCTGTTGATTCTGATTTGAAGACAAAATTACATAATTCACTGTCACATGACTCTTATTAGTGTTTAGTGTTGTTATTGGGCTTTAGTTATTAGGCCCAATAGTGTTTTAAGTTTTTTGTTAAGAGAACCACTAAACAGGGGCACCTCTGTCCCTTCTTGTTTTTTTCTTAAGTTGCAATCTTAATAAAAGATTTAGGGCCGGCTAAGACCTCTCCTTCTGGCTGCCCATTCTTCTCATTCTCTTGTCTTCTTCTCCAAACCACTCTCAAACCCTTGCAGGTCTGAAAACACAGGAAAAAAAAGTGATAGTGGCATGGTAGTTTCGAAGTGAGGAGAATAAAGTTGTCCGGGTTCCAAATTGTTGAAGAAATCTGCAAGAATGGGAGGTGGCTGAATGTGGGCCTGTCTAACTTCAAGGATAGCATGTAATACTGGAGTCTAATGATAAGAGAGTGGTGAAGGACGATAAAATTTCCACACAAAGTGGTATATGGATCTCTTCCACCATCCAGAATTGCTTTTCTAGTATGGATAACAGTCAACAATGTGGGGCAAATGCCCCACTTGAGTCAGCCTCATAAGAAGAGGGATGTTGATCGCTGATTCTGGTTGTGTGCTATGCAATGGTGAGAAATTAACAGCAGATCATCTTTCATACACTGCCTGGTTGCAAAAATAATCGAAAACATGCAAAAAAAGTATTGATAGCTTGGTGGTGTGGTGGGGCTTGCTAAAAGAGGCAAAGCAGCATGGAGTTCCATTCCAGAAGCCATCCTATGGTCAACTTGGAGGGAAAGTAATAGGAGACAGAATTATTAAAAGGCAGTGTCAGAAGAATTTACTCTTGGGTGGTGATGGACAAAAAGTTCAGAGATGTTCCTTTCCATTCATTTCCATCATTTAATGTTCTTTTCTAGTTTTCAAATATGGTCTCTTTGATGATGTTGATGGTTACAGTTTATGGCTTCTTCTAGGCCCAGCCAGTGTTAGTTGTATCTTCTTTGATTATTTAATAATTTAAATTGCCTTAGCATTTTCAGAAAAAAAAAAGAACATTACCATAGTTTTCTTGTTAATGCGAAGGGATGTATTCTTTTTAAATTGTATATTGTACTCTGGCATTGTCGTGTGCTCCCAATTTGGCTGGCTTTACCAAGCCTACCCTCATCTCCAGTTCAATTTCCTGTGGGTTTTAAGGATTGTTTTCTTTTCTTTTGGATCATTGACAATTAAAGAATTTATTGAGGAACATAAAAGAGAGAGTATTGATCACAGGCATTAATATTTTATTGACTTTAAGTTTTTAAAATCTTTTCAGGAAATATGTTTCAAGTTTCAGACCTGGTCGAACTGGAAAACTAGGATCTTTTTTTGATACAACAGGTAATTTTTTATCTGTCAATATATTCGACTTGTTTGGACATTCTTATGATGCATGCTAGATATCTGGTGCTGACCTGTTGAGATGTTAAATGTTAATAAATATTGTTCTATTCTAGTTGAAGGTATGTTTAGATGTTAAATGTTAATAAATATTTCTTAGGCAAACTGTCAATTCAAAATATCCCCATGTTCATGGTCTTATTTTATGTTTCTGATTGTTCCTCAATGAACGAAAATGGAAGGGATGGTAAAGTTATCATTATTTTCAAACGTAGGGGTCAAACAGGCATTTCAGACCCTGAATAATTGGAGTAGATTAGCAGATAACTTTTTTCAGTGTTTCTTAAACTTAATCCTGTTCCCTGATATAACTGGTGTATTTTGCAGAGTTGGTCTGGCGATGTATACTTAGGAAACAACTTGGGAAGCTCTTGGCCATTATGCTTGGTTGCATGTCTGCTGCAATTCTTTTAGCAGAGGCTACTATACTGCCAAGTGGAGTCGATTTATCTCTTTTCTCCATTCTCATAAATTCTGTCAGAAAGCAAGAGGTTCTTGTACAGGTAAATTTTTTAATTGTTTGAATTCTACTTTAGGTTTATATTATCTCTTCCAAGTTTTAGTGCCCTTAGTAGGAGRGACCTTTTTTTATAGTTTTTTGGAGTACTTACTTTTTATATCTGCTACTGATTGAATTGAATTCTCTTAGAAGGATTTCTGGGTTACAGAATTCTTGGTTGTTTTGCACTACTGTAGGAACTCTATAAATATAGCAACCTTTTCCTTTCAAGTCATTCTTTTACTCTTGATGGTTGGTCTGAGCTTCTCATCATACATCTTTTTGTTTCTGAACTTTTCTGCTTTAGATTAATTATTTCATTTTTTTTTCTTTGCAGATAACTGCTTTCATTCCTCTGATGTATATGTGCATTTGCACGTATTATTCCTTGTTCAAAATTGGAATGCTGATGTTTTACTCATTAACACCAAGACAAACAAGCTCAGTCAGTTTGCTTATGATTTGCTCGTAAGTTACTCAATAGATGCATGAATACAATATGATGTTCATCTTGTGAGTTTTCTATTGAAATTGGAGTTGATTAGTAAATTTCTTTTGAGCATTTCTACTAGGATGGTTGCAAGATATGCACCTCCAATTTCTTACAACTTTCTCAATCTCATTAGCCTTGGTGGAAAGGCCAAAACTATCTTTGAAAAGGTCAGTCTCCTCTTACATCACATATGTTTATTGTCCTCACCTTACTCTGTCATAAGCTGAAGATAAAATTAAATAAGTGAATGACATATTAAAGCATGGGAAATTTTTGCATAAGGTAGAAGCGCCATATATTCTTGTGCCTTAACTTTCTACTGTTGAGATTTTCTCATCATATCTTTCAACCATCTCACATAACTTTTTCCTCGTTACTTTCAAGAGCTCATCTAGTTCTTTTGAGCACATGAGGTTGGTCTTTGCATTTTTGTATTTTCAACAAATTTGGGGTTCCTTCAATTTTTCTAGGGGGGCACTTCTTGATGCAATGGTAAAATATCAAGATGACAAACACGAAAATGCAGATTCAAATCTTTAGAGCAGCCATTTCATGCTAAAAAGCCAGACATTAGGTCTGTATCTGAAGACCCCAGATAACTGTGATTAGCACTGTGTAATGACCTTTCTTATTTTTATTTATTTTGCTGCCTCAGGTGAAGCCAAGTCTTATGTGATTTGCAGAAGCGTCTGTCAATTTTCTTTGTAGTTGTTCTTGTTTTTCTTTTTTTTTTTTTTTTTTTTTTTTGTTTTTTCATTGGAGGTGGGGAGGAAGAATGCTCTATATGGGCCTGACTGAGAATTCACATGGTGTGATGTCATCATCATCCAAGTCTTATCCCAATTATATGGGGTCGTCTACATGAATCCTGTTTCGCGATTCTGTTCTGTTTAATGCCATATCCATTGTTAAGTTTTTAGTGACTTCAACCAATGTCCTTTTTGGTCTTCCCCTACACCTTCTAGGCCCTTCAACTTGCAACCCCTTCTACCACAATTGGTGCATTGATCTTTGCAGTATTAATGTTTTTTTCTGTTTGGTTCCTTTATCACAAAGCTGCTCCAAAATTGGTTTGGTTCCAAGTTGTAGAATATATGTTGAATCACCACTTGGTGGGGCTACTAGGACTTGGGTCTTTTCCTTGAGTGGGACACCAAGTACATGTATATTTATTGATTAACCAATTTTCAGACGCTGGAGTAGATCCTAAAGAGATCCTACTTCCTCATGAATTTCTCTTGAATCAGGACCATTTGGCTGAACTTTATGCCAGTTTTCCAAAGGAGCAACACCTTTTTTTACTCTGAATTGGTAAAAATATGCAGAATTTCTTACATTTTTTGTGGAGGATTAGATCCAGTAACAGGGGTTTATGGCTGGCCGATATTACGCACATCACTTAGCTATTGCAATTCTTTTTGCGATAGCTGGTCACGTGTATATGACAAACTTGGGCATTGGTCAAAACATTGTCTGGTGTGATCTAGTCCAAAATTTTTCCACCTGATGAGTGACTCTAGATTGGCCATTTTTTTGTCGGTGTAAGCCAATCAATGCTAGACTGTCACGAGGCTATTCAACAAGGCCCCGTGCGACACTCGATGGGGTCAAGAAAGCCTACGAATGTAAGCAATAACACACAAAAGGCAACAAGAAGGCACACAAATTAGTCAAAAGGCTACTTGTATTGCATTGATTGATGGTAAGCACAAGCACATAGTTCAGTGTCGAGGGGATCTCGTGCTTAACCTTTACACGCTATTGTGAAAAATCATACTACAAAATTACAATAATGCCATTGGCAATCCCCCCCATACAAAATACATGCAATGTCCCACCCAAGACACACACTTGACACTCGGATGGCATGCTGTGGGTGTGGTGATGGCACTTGAAGGCGCAGCAAAATGGTTACTTGTGACATTCTCCCCCACTCAATTCCGTCTTCGTCCTCGAAGACCAGCTTCTGCTTGTGGCTCGAACTTCTTGTTGGTGAAGGAAGGTTCTTCAACTGCTCCACGAACAGGGTTTCTTTCAAGGCTCGGATAGGAGGTTGGGTGGATGGCTTGTGGATGTCCTTGATGGTGGGAAAACCTATGGCTAGTCCCTAAGTTTGGTCCCTACCTGGCTGCTTCAAGGTAGGATTTTGGACGTTCCCCAGTGGTGGTTGGAAAATTGGTGGCCAAGGCTGGGTCAAAATGATGGTTTGGATTTATYGGGTATTGGTTCCCTTGCATTTTTTCCCAAGGATGGCTGCTCACCGTGCTACTACGTGGTTTGGGCGGGGTGGGATTGTGATTTCTATATTGCTTGGGTGACACTCACTCTCCCCGATGATTGAGGTAGTGGGTACGATTATAATTGAGGTTGGCCTTGGGTCTTCTCTTGGGCCCATCAGTTGCAGGCATACGCGGCTTTTGCTGCAAAGGTGGCTTCCGCTGCTGTTGCTAGTGCTATAGCGGTGTTGGCACTGACGCTAGCGCTGACTTCTTCTTGGAGTCGTTGCGATCACTTCTGGTTGCAATAGTGGTGGTGGTTGTAGATCTCTTTGCCATCCCTTGAGGTTGAGGTTGGTGTTGGAGTTGCAAGGCTGTGACTTGCTTCTTCTTGGCACTGGCCGAGGCAATCATGTTGACCATGCAAGGTGACTGCTCGTCCAAGATCATCAAAGTGTCATGGTGAGGCGTCGGTGCCGCTTTTGCCTGTATCATGAAGTCCATTCCAAGGACAACATCGAAGTCATCCATGTGAACAACAGAGAGGTCAATCTCTCCATCCCAGGTGCCGAGTTGTAGTCTTACTTGGCAAGCCATGCCTTCAGTAGGTTTGGCACCTGTGTTAACTGCTTTGAGCCAGCCGGGCTCTTTGGAGATGGCCAAATTAAGTTTCTTGGCCTCCGCAATGGATATGAAGTTGTGAGTGGCCCCCGTGTCAACTAAGGCTCTAGTTGGCCTCCCACCAAGGGTTACATCAACATACCTCAGTCCTCTCTTAACTGAGGCGGGATGTTTGGAAGTAGCCCCTTTCTTCATCATAGCATTGAAAAGTTGTAGGGTGCCCACTCTTGGCGCCTATGTACTCCACTCCCCATCACTATGCTCGTCATCACTCAACTTGGCAATGAGGGCATTTAGCTTCTCCCGCTTTGGGCAATGTCTTGTCAAGTGTTCCTCCCCACAAATGTAGCATGTAGGTGGACGGGTTGGTCTACCTTGGTACTTGTTGTTGTAGGAGTTGCGACTTCCTTGTGGGTGCTTTCCCTTTTGGTACTGTGCTGGCTGGTTGTGATAGGGCTGCTTCTCTCTCGGGGGACTTGGTTGTCTGTCTCCCCCACTCAAGTGTGCGGCACATGGGCTGGCTTGTTTGGTCCCTTTGTCATTCGACAATCTCAGTTCACTAAGTTGTTCGGCCACGGCCATGGCAGAGGCAAGGTCTTGAACATTGCATCGCTGGAGCTCGAGCTCGGCTCAAGGCTTTAGGCCATCCATGAAGTTGAACAGTAGGTCTTTATCTGACATGATGATGACTTCTAATGTGAGAGCAGAGAATTCCCTCACATACTCGTGGAGCGAGTCACCGTGCTTGAGGGACTTCATCCTTCGGTGGGCAAGGAACTCCACATTCTCTGGATAAAATTGTTTCTTCAGCTCTCGCTTAAAATCGGCCCATGATTGTATGGTGCACGTACCGTGTTCTATGTCAACACACTTTCTGCGCCACCACAATGTAGCTGTATCAGTTAAATACATTGTAGTTGTACGTACCTAAGTCCTTTTATCAACCACATTGGCTGCAGCAAGGTATTGTTCCATTTGCCACAAGAAGTTGTCAAGCTCTTGTGCATCGCGAGTGCCCAAATAGGGAGTTGGCTCCCAAATCTTGATGTAGGAAGGAGTGTGCAAGGCTGAGGTGCTGGTCGGGTTGGCAATTGCTCTCTTCATGATGGCACACTCCCCCTTGATTTCCTCAAGTTGAGCTTGGACATCAACGGAGGTGTTTAGGGCAGACTTCAAAGCTGCCCATTCAGTCTTCATCTCGTTCAGTTCGGTCTGAGTGGCCATTGATGTGGAGATGGTTCTTCTCCATGGTGCCCACTCTCTCTTCATCTCGTCGAGTTGGGCTTGAAAGCTGTCAAGCTTGTCTTGGATATGCGAGTTGGATGAGCTTCCTTCTTGTTGGTGCGCGGTGCTGCAAATTTCCTTCAGCGTGCCATTGAGTATTTCACGGACCTCATCCACGACTCCGCTTAGGTGGCCTTCCACTTCCACCAATGTACTCTCCATGGCTTCCATGTTTTGGTGTAGCTTGTCTACCGAATCTCGCATCTCACCTACAGTGGCCTTGCATTGTAGCATGCGCAAGTCAATGGCTGCATGCTTGTTGGTGGATTTCTCATGTTTGCTAGGCTTTGGTGCCTTGTCCTTGCTGATGTCGTCGGCGGGCACATCATCGGGCTCAAGGGATGTGGAGAGTCCATGCTCGATCTCCTCCACGATGTCCTTGTTGTGCTTCATGCTGTCACTCGCGTCACGGGTCGAATGGCTAGAAAGGAGCTCCTGCTCTGATACCAACTGTCACGGGGCTATTCAACAAGGCTCCGTGTGGCACTCGATGGGGTCAAGAAAGCCTACGGGTGCAAGCAACAACACACAAAAGGCAACAACAAGAAGGCACACAAATTAGTCAAAAGGCTACTTGTATTGCATTGATTGATGGTAAGCACAAGCACATAGTTCAGTGTCGAGGGGATCTCGTGCTTAACCTTTACACGCTATTGACTCAATCGACTACCTACCTCCCCTCAAAGAGTACGTTAAGCTTTTGGGGGAGTGACAATAAGAAACATCAAAAAGGTGAAAAATCATACTACAGAATTACAATAATGCCATTGGCAATCTCCCCCATACAAAATACATGCAATGTCCCACCCAAGACACACACTTGGACACTCGGATGGCATGCTGTGGATGTGGTGATGGCACTTGAAGGCGCGRCAAAATGGTCACTTGTGACAAGACTTCACCTTAAACTTAAGGTCTTCAACAAAAAAAATCAGGAAAGGGTGTCTTTGTTGTGCATACATGTGCTACATGGGTGATACTGGGAAGAAAATTTTACATATGAAGCCCTTCTCAGATTCTGACCCAGCTGCCAATCATAATAAACCTGTCTTTCAAATTGTTTCCAGGTCTCTCCTTGGGATAATGAAATTATTTGTCCAAAACTAGATCTTTTCCTTTAATATCCATCAGAATTTGTTCAACATAGCGTCCTTTTCCATTACTTAATGTTGGTCCCAGCTATCTGGGGTTTTGGAGTTGGAAGAGGTGGACTGCATTTTAAAAAAGGTCCTTACCCATCATCTGCTCTCTATGAATCTTAAAATTGATTCTTCAACATCTTTTTCAAAAAAAAAAAGGGTTCTTGAAGGGTGATAAGTTTCTGGTTTGATCTGCAGAGAATGGGGAACATTGATGATGCAGTCCCTTTCTTTGGGCAAGGATTTAATAAAATCTATCCACTTATTATGGTTCTATATACCCTACTAGTTGCAAGCAATTTCTTTGGCCGGGTAATTGATTTTTTCGGAAGCTGGAAGAGGTTCAGGTTCCAAAATGAGGCTGATAATCTGGATGGACTTGATGCTTCAGGAATAATCATCCTGCAAAAAGGTAAATAGGTCCTGATCTCATTTTCCCTATTTGCATGCAGTATGTAGTTCGACATTCTTTTGCACTCCCATTAGGTGAGGTCATGACAGTATGGACCTATGCCACAAGGCTTCTATACAAAACCTTTTTTTTACTCTTCTCTGTGAATGATTTCAATTTTCCTATTTAGGCTTGAATTATTGAAAAAGAAAAAAAAAATTTCCTACAGAGCGATCTTGGCTTGAACAAGGGCGTAAGGTTGGTGAGCATGTCATCCCATTGGCAAGGAATTTCAGCAATGTAGATGTTGAGTCTGGAAGCAATAGCACAGTATGTAGAACTGCTTTATTGTCGGTGGAACCCTGTGGTGATACTATCATTTTGTTTTTGCTATTTATATTGTTATGCATCATGGAAATGCCTGTCATGATGCACTATCAGATCTATTTACCAATAAACACAAATTTGTGACACTGATTTTGTCATCAAATTCCTCTCTTTTTGTTTTGGTCATCAAATTCTTCCCTTTTTGTTGTCAGTAACCTTCATTTTGTCATTTTCTTATTCTTTTACCATTTTCCAACCTAACAAGTGGGGCAATATTCTACTGCTAATCTTGAGATGGCCTTCAGGACAAGGCTGCTATTGAAATGAAGCCAACATCCAGTTTGGCCAAGGACAGTGGAAAGGGAAGCCAATCAAAACCCTTGAAAGAAGAGACCTGGAAATATGACACGAGCACTGAAGCAACTGGAAACAAGTCTACCAACATAAAAGAACAGAATAAAGAAACATCCAGTAAAAAAGAAATGGAGAACATTGCTCCCAATACAGTCTCTTTGCTTGATACAAGCAAATCTCAGAACCACCAGAATTCTGGTAATGAAGCAGGGGTGCCTTCTTCTAGGCTCTCCTCAACATGGGAATCAGTGAAGACAGGATTTCAAAGTATAAAGGATAATATAGGTGCCAAGAGATTTATGCCTCTTCGCCAAGTTCGGGAAAAAGACCTTGTTTCCCTTGTTTCGTCATCCGAGTCCCTTGATGAAATATTCCGGAGATTAAAACAACCAGCAGTGGATCAAGGGGATTACAGTGATGAGGATGACATTGACATGGATGTTATAAGTTCAGGACCCACCGGATAATTACTGTAATTCTTAATGAGTGTTGTAGAAGTTGAGTAGGTGATTGTAATTTTTAATTCCATGAAACCCACGGAAATGTATGGGTTTCAGATAAGGATTGGAGGCTCGATGCTCAGTGCACACCAAATTTTTCCTGCAGCAATGGAGGGGGTTCTGCTATACCAAATCACACACAGTTAACAAGTAGCTGCACAAACCAGGCAAATACAACAATGAATATGAAGCCTACTGGGAACCAAAAGTTCAGGAGAATTTTGTAATGTTTCAATCTACTGGATACAGCATTCGTGTAGCTTAATATTGGTATTGATCGAGTGTAATATTTTGCTCTAGAAGCAGGTTTTGTGTGGTGTGTTTCTGTAAGCATATCATGGGTTTGTATTTGGCTCTTGATACAGCAATAACTGTCGGGTCAGGATTCGTATAGAGGTACCCAACCCCAAATAATTGGGATTAAGGCTGAGCGGAGTAGATTCTTCAGTTTTTCCCCTCCCTGATCGCGTGCAAAAGAGTTTGCATGAGCCATGATATGCATATTTCTAAGTCATTTACAACTTCAGTGGATCCAAAAGAAATAAATTTGTTGACCTCCCTGCATCTGCAAACAGTCCAAGATATATGCCATTCGGTTAAATTACAACTCACAAGATACCTTTCGTGGGTACTTGCAGTATACAAATTGCAAATCTTCGGATGTGTCGACCTTTGTTAAAAAGTTCAAGTCTTTCCACTCTTTGCGATTGAGGGAAAATAATAAATAATATTCACGTCAGGTTAATGAGCCATGCTTCATAAAATGGCCAAGTTTTGCACGTGTAAAGACCAAATAGAGGATGAGTTACACCTCACAAAGACAACCACATAAGATATGTTTGGTACTATTGTTGTGTTGTGTTGGATTTTGGGTTTATCAATACAAATTTGGGAGGGAGATTTTTTCATTTAAGATGTTTTAAGAATGTTTTGAATTGATTAATACAAATTGCTGTTTTTACATTAAACATCATGTTTTCACACTCATTTTTCTAGTTGAAATGGCACTCATATGATGATGGGACAATACATAGTTCTCATAAATTTGTATTTGTTTATTTATACCCTGACGGGCCTTCTAAAAAAATAAATTTGTATTTATTAAACCAAAACCCAACAGCAATGCAATGCCACTGTATGCTTTCATAATAAGTGGTTTTTGTACCAAATACCCCAGTATCATCTATAAAACGCATTAGGATTGAAATTGGGTCCAACCGTCCAATGAACAACATCCTGGCTGGCCGTTCCTTGAAGTATTTTCCTTTACTTGTTTGATAATACAAGTGTTTCTTTTTTTTCTCTCTCTTTAAGTATCACTAAAGGCTGTTTTTTCCAAAAAATTCTGTTTCTCTTGTTTTCTATCAAACCAAACATAATCTAAGCCCTAAGGGAACTGTCCCTGTCCCATTTATCAAAAAATATGGTGTATCTAAATCACTCTTCTAAATTAACTAGATGGCTTAAAAATTATAAGGCCCCGTTCATTTTCGGTAAGTTACTTAGCCGGGTAAATGCAATTACTTGGGTAAATTTTTCCTGAAAAACATTTACCCAAGTAAGTGCATTTACACATGTTCTTTTATTTCCTAAACAAATAAGGTAATGACCATTTTAGCCATAAAAATCCATTATTAAAAGGGACATTTTTGCCCCATTCAAGTGTTAGCAACTTCCCCCTAGGTGGGAAAGTTATTTACCCACCTAGGAGATGGGTATTAGGGGTGTCAATTGGACTGGATTTGGTCCAATCTGATCCAGTCCAATGTGAGTCCATTATAAATGGACAAGGTCCAATCCAATCCAATGAATGTTTTGGACCAATTTGGACCGGTCCAATTTAATGTTTGGACTGTCTAATATGTTCAAATTCATTTTGATTTAGATTGGATTTAACCCAAACTCGGTCCATTGACACATTTATCTTATATCAGTGTACCAGATACTAGCTTAATCCAACCCAATCCAATATAAATTTGTTATGGATGGACCAAGTCCAATCCAATCTAATAAATATTTTGCACCGGATTAGTCTAATCCAATATGTCTTGTTGGTCTGTCCAATCCATCCAAATTGATTTTGGACTGGACGGGGTCCAATCCAAAACCGGTCCATTGACACCCTTAGGTATCACTTACCCGGGGTAAGTGATACCTAAGGGTGTGTAAGTGATACCCAAGAAAATAAACTTTCCTTGATCCTCACATAAATCTAAAAAATGAACATGGGATTCTTGGTTAATGGGAACCAAAATCCCATTAACCAACTTTCTCCCTCTCAAAATCCAAAAAAGGAATACCCCCAAAATGTGTTGGCCTTCATTCCGTAGGAAGTGAGTGAGTCTAAACTCTATAAAGGGTAAAAACTTTTTGGGTCTGTTTGGTTTGCAAGAACAGGCGCATGAAATTGGAATTGGAATGACCCATTTTAAGTGGGATTCTCATTTCCATTCTAGGTGGAATGGAATTCTCCCACCTCCTTGGAGTGTGATTCCCATTCCGCCTCTTTCTTTTATTTTATTTTATTTTTTTTCTTGTTCTTGACAAAAACCTCATTTCAATTCAAAGCCCTAATTAGTCAATTCCTCCGTGTTCGATAGGCATGCCTCCATCCAAATTAGCCACTAACAACCACCATCTCCACTGAGGTAAAATTAGTCACCTTCCGGTTGTCCTTCCCCTATATTTTCTCTTTTCTTCCTAACTCTTCCTCTTCTTTCTCCCCTCTTCTCTCTTCTTCCTCCCCACTGTCACCACCCCCATTGCTAATATCACTGGCAATTGGTATTAGTATATCCATATTCACCCTTTCCTCTCTTTTCTTCTTTATTCCCCTCTCCTTTCTCCCCGTCTTCTTCCAAAATAATGCTGATCGGTCGAACAACGATTTGGAATCCACCTCCTTTCTTCTTTCTTCTTCTTCTTTATGCAACTGACTACAATGTTTTGTTTTGTAAATCCACCTTTGCAACCATTAATAGCGGTAAAATTCAAAATTTCAGCTCATTCCAATTCTAGCTTACGGATCAAAACTCGATAAAGGGTATTGATGCTGCTCAATCCGAGGTAGTGTACGAACCAAGGAAGGCAATTAGATAGTCCTTGTTGGCAGGGTAGGGCCGAGCTATAAGGACGAGGCCGCGCTTCAAGATCTGCGATCAAGGAAACAGAAGTCAGAGACCTGAGGAGTTATCCCCGGGTAAGAACTCCGACGCTCAAGTCAGTAGGTGGCGGAAGGATGGTCGAGCCGAGCTATAAGGATGCCGGTCTGAGCTAAGTAGTTGTGTAAGTCTCAGAAGTTCAATCCCTTACCTTGAACATGGAGTACCTTTTTATAGCCAAAGATCCATGTCCTGGTTGGATTGGGCTTCCAGGGTTGCCGGGATGAGGTTAGCCGCTGAGGTATTTGGGATAGAGTCCCATTCTCCAGCAGAGTCGTCTTCCTTATTCCTCTTTATCCGTGGTTGTGCTCGTTCACGTGACATGTAGTTGATGTGGATGAAAGGAAAAGATGGGAGGCCACCACAATAGTGTAGATCGGTCGGGCTATGCCGACGTGACTGAGCTAGCCCAACGTGGCCGAGCTATGCCGACGTGGCCGACTTAGGAAGATGTGGCAGGGCGATAGTTGGGCGGCCACGTGTCTCACATGACTAACTCAGCCATGACTCGATCACCACTCCCTCAGTTTTGAAATCGAGAAATGAAGTCTCCTAGGTTCATTGCCTGGCTGAGGAACTTCCGAGCATGCGTATCATTCGTGTCGTGTTGGTTGTTGCCGAGGAGTCCTTCGATCATCAACTGTGGAACTTAAATAAGAACCAGATTTTTGGTTCCCGAACCACTCCCCCAGTTCTGCTGTCGAGGAGGGGGAATGCTCGGCCAGGCCATTGCGCAGCCTAGCCGAGGATTTGCGTTGGAGGTTGGATCGGTACGGCGGGTCTCTGTGACGAAGGTTAGACCGGTGCGGTAGTTGAACTAGCACAATTAATGGGCACAACTGTTGCCTGTCGAGGGTGTCACTTTGGTTTTTGAGGCTTACTCATGCATGTTATTGGTTGCGTCAGTTGGCCTTCCGAGGAATTGCTAGGGGTGCATCTGTACCGTTGATCTCTCCTCGGTCTGTGACACTGATGGCTATAAAAGGGAAAAGGGGTCCCTCCCCCTTTCCATCCTTAGTGTCACTTGCAAGAGTTTGGCATCCACTTCGCGGCAGATTCGTCGGTCACATAGCTCAATAGACAGCTCRGCAGATAGCTCAGTAGTTTTCACTCTTCAGCTCCGCAAATTGCCTAGTATGTCCTCCTCATCTCGTCGGTCCTCTTCCTCGTCCAGGGACTCCAGTAGTTCTGGTTCCAGCTCTTCTCGTGGCTCGACCTACGAGCCTAAGCTGAGAGAGTTCGTGGCTACCGAAATCGAGGAAGCCGAGGCTTGTCCCTCTGGGGTGGAGACAGAGCTTCCTCTTCGGGCAGGTCGCCAGTTTGGTACCATGCCCGACATCTTGACGGCCGGGGGTATGGCTCGGATCTGAGCTACATATGTCATTCCCGCGGAATACCAGATGAGTTGTCTGCTGCCCGGGGAGATGGCTACTTATGCTCATCCCGGTCAGCGGTGCGTTTATGAGCACAGCTTGGAGGCTGGGCTGAGGTTTCCGTTGATCGAGGGGTTCGTCGAGGGGCTAAACTGGTACTGGGTGTTGTCGGTGCAGCTGATGACGAACTCCTTTAGATTTTTGCTCGGCCTGATGTCCTATTGTGCGGTCTGCGATATTGATCTGACCCTGGGGATGGTGAGCTTTATGCTTCAGGTGAAACACCACCAGCAGGGGTACTACTACTTCTCCACCCAACGGAACATTCGATCATTGGTCGGAGCCCCTTCTTCTATAAAGCATTGGAAGGAGTCTTTCTTCTTTGTGCGAATCTCCGGGGTCTCCCTTTTCCTGCCGAGCTGCAGAGACCGAGGACGTCTTTACCACAACCCCAATGGTCGGCGCTTACTTAGGAGGAGAGGTCGGCCTTGAGAATGATCCACGAAATCGACGTTATCCCGTGCACATGCTCAGAGATGCTAATGCTCGCTGGGCTGATGGAGAGGGTGGTCTATCTATTTCCTTTTACTTCTGTTTGCTTATCTGACTTTATCTTGCCAATTTTGTACTTATCTTAGACCTTCTGTGTTGCAAGTGCGAGCATGGCTAGCAAGGAAGACATTGTTCATCAGATTAAGGTGCTCCGACAAAGGCAGGAATGAGCCGGTGTGCAACCGGAGGCTCGTCCCAAGGCGGATGAGCGGCTACAACCCGTAGATAGAGCGGCCCGTCGGCGAAGAAGGGTTCAACAACGAGAGGCCGAGGAGGACGATGTTGTCATGATTGACCCTTAAGGGGTCTGTCGCCCTGCTGGTACACCAGTGACTAAGGCAGGAAGCAGTTCAGGTCTGCACATGCCGAGGTGGTCGGTTCACATGGACGATAATCTGGAGACTCACAAGGTTCCCGA